TCTATAAGCAGGGTTTTTTTTTTTTAATGCCTTTTGTGTTATCTCCTGGATTTTCATTATTTCCATTTACTGTTGTATTATCCTTCTATGAGCTTTCAAGTGACGGTTATATTCATGTTTCATATTCTTCTGTTATCCCTAATTTATTGATTATTGGACACAGCTCTATCTTCTAGATCTGACACTCTGTCCTCATATTGGTTATTTCTGCTGCTCATATTCCCAATCATATTTTTAATCTTGGATTTCTGTTTGAAACATTTTTATGGCCTCCTATTCTTTTCTATGCTAGACATTTATGTTTTCCATCTAGATCCATTGATCATTTGTTTTATTTGCATCATTATCTGTTTAGTTATATCTTTATTTTATGGAAAAAGGTAAAACAAAATTTCATAACAAAATAATAAATTGATTGCATATTATCATCTTTAAAGTACTTAAAGTACAAGATAATGGACATAAAGTTTCTCTAATTGATAGAAGTGAAAATCTTCCTTCTCTATGAAGGAAGAGACACTAATAGTATACCTAACTTGCATTTTTCTCTCTATTCCCTTCCTTCCTTTCCCCTTTCCTCCATCATTGCTCTTTTTTTCCTTTTTTAACAATTTCTTCCCATTTTACAATATCTATTGTGCATTTTACAACTTATTTACTCTTTCAGTTCCTCACACCAGGGAGACAATACAATATTTACATGAGTCTAATTTATTTACTTATGAGAGTGGTCTTAAGTTACACACATTTACCTATGAAAGTCTCAAGTCGTCCTTATGGCAGAGTAGTAATCCATTGCATAAAAATCCTACATCTTTTGTATTCATTCCTAGGCTAATAGGTGTTTGGTTTTTTTCTAGGATTTAGCTATCATAAATTGTGCTGCTATAAGCATTGAAGCACATACATTGCTGTAGTATGACGTTTTGTTTTTCAAAAGGAAAAATATAGTGCTCCATCAATGGGATGATACTCAGAAGGGAAATAGCTGGATCAAATAAGACCTCCAATACTAGGTTTTTGAGGAATCTCCACACGGATTTCTGTAGTGGTTGTACCAGTCTGAACTCCCACCAACAGTGGCAAGGGTTCCTTTATCCTCCCAGTCAATCCAGCATTTGTCATTGGTTGATTTCTTTATCATAACCATTCTTTCTGGAGATGGTATCTCAGCGTTGTTTTAATTTGCATCTCTCAAATTACCAATGATGTTGGACACTCTTTTATATATTTATTTGACATTTTATTTCTTCCTCTGAGAAGTATGTATTCCTCTCAAATGTCCATTTTTGGACGGGGTCTTTAAATTTGGGGGGTTGGGTGTGGGTTCTTTGTATATTCTAAATAGAAGTCCTTTGTCTGAGTAATAAGTGGCTAAATTTTTTTCCCCAATTTATATGTTGTCTTTTCATTCTGGTGATTTCTTTTGATGTACAGAAGATTTTGAATAACATTAGGTCCCCCCAGTTTTTGATTCTTTTAAAAAGTTTTTCCCATATAGTTTGAGCTTTGTTTATGAACTCTATCTACATCTATGTCTTAAAGATTTCTGTCTACTTTCTCTCCAGTAGACTTAGTGTTTCTGTTTTAATATTTAGATTTAGATCTTTGACCCACTTTGACTTTAGTGCATGGTGATAGGCATGGGTATAGCTTTTGTCTCTGGCATGTAGAGAATGAATTTTTAGAGCCGTATTTATTAAAGAAGTTAACTTTGTTCTAGTAAACATGTTTGGCTGTTTTGTCAAAGATGGCTGAGTGGTCAATTGGATTCTTGACCATGCCCTTGGCTGATTCTTTGGGCAATGAAATAACATGCCTTTTAAAAAAAAATCTTGAAGATTTTCTTGTCACTTGTATTTTTTAAAAGTCACACAAGTGATATAAATTTGGTGCTCACAGGGACCAGCAGTTACAATTCCATTTGAATAGAGACACACTTATGTATTTAATCACTGAACAACTTATATAGAGCAATGTATCAAACTAAACACTGCCAGCATATTGGTCTGATTAGTTAGTTATAATGATTTTCAGAAATAATTTTTTTTCCAAAAGGAAAGTCATAATGCTTTTCATAGCATTTTATTATTAGCAGAATATGGAACAAACCTTCTCCCCCCAGTCTTGAAAACCTTTTCTAGACAGCTTGTAAGAAAATGTTAGGATGATCAATTTAGAACAGTTTACTAAAGTTATCTTGAACTTTCTCAGTGACACTAACATTATAATATACATTCCTATAAGACTCCAATACATGTGTGTTTTATTCACCAATACATGGAAATCTGGGTTCCAAGATTTTCCCCATGATTCTTTCTATACAACACCTCACGTGGCTCAAGCGCTCCGAGGGCTTTGTTCCTCAGGTGTTTCGTGCTCACTGTCCTGTCTCGGGTGCAGCTTGCTTTCCCCCTGGACTGTGCAGTGCTGCCTCCAGAGACGTTCCTCCTCATCAGTAACTCACAGTCACTATTCAATTGTCCCCCCTCATATTTGCATGTTTTCTACTTCACCCCACTGTCCTGACCTGGCGTGTGTGCAGACTTCACCTTCGTGTAGATCTTGGGTGTGTTACGATCATGTGTAGGTACAGTCACAGCTTCAGGAATAGCTGTCTGATTATTTTATAAAGTGAAATCTGAAATTGTCACCTTTTCATCACTTTCCCCTATTTCCTTAGGGGGGAAAATGGTGATTTCTCGCGACCAATATCTTCAAAATTTGTTTCAGTGACACTCAGGTTTTATTTGGCTTTCTTCATTTCCGGTCACCTTTGTAGCTACTGTGAACATCTACTCCATACAGGTAAGCACTCTCTTAATAAAGTCTGCAAAGTTTTTACCCCACCAAGGTTTGATTTTATAAGAAGCTTCTAACCTCCTTTTGTTGCTTTTTCAAAGGTAATTTCTTTTAACTCAAGATATCCAGACTTAAAATTGCAAACTTTTTAAAAATTCAGTTTTCAGAAAAAAACACTCTCCCCTATTATGTACACATACCACAAATCTTTGGATTTTATATCTTTTCCTGCTTTGTACATCATTACAATGTTATGCTTGTACATAATGTCTGCCTTATGTTGCACATTTTGAAAGTACAGATTGTCAGTGTTAGTCCGTACAGCCCTGAGCACAATGTCATGATCACTTAAATGCTTTTGATGATGATGATGAAAATGTAATGATAACATAATGCTGTTCTGGTTAGAGAATGTCACATAGGTAGCCCAGTATAGTTCTCCTTAAGATATAAGTTGTCATTCTATGAAGCCGTCCTCCTTCATTAGAAAAAAGTGATAATACCTTCTCATTAGTGTTTTGTGCCCTATCCAATAATTAAAGAGAGTAAAATGCCCTCCCTCAATGAGTGTAATGTTAACGCGGTGTAATTAAAGCCAAGTCTTGAAATGCATTAGGAATCTACTAGAGTAGATATTTGGTGTTTTTCTCTCTATAGGTGAAATTTTCAAATTGTGTTTATAGCAACGTTATCATCAAAGAGAAAAAAAATCATTGGATGTAGAACATGACTCACAATGCACAACAGCAGAATTCAGAAATCAAAGAAATTTTTTTTTAAAAAATCACTTCTAAATCCATGTTATCATGAAATTGAATCCTGAAGATACTGTGTGACTTGCCTATGGTCACAAATTAGTGAGTTGATTTTTCCTTGGTAGTGAGAACTAAGGTTTGGGGTCTTACTGAAGTGATTTTGTTGTTGTTGTTGTTATTCTTTCTGAGATATATTTGCTAAGAAAATGTTGATTTGGTTGTTTTCTTGATGGGGTGAAAACGTGCAAAATGAAAGAATGTAATATGTGTGTAGCTCCTATCATATTTAAGTTATTTTAAATGCAGGGCTTGTCATACTACTAAAGAGACAAGACAAATCTCACCATTATCTCATCAGAATAACTGCAGTGTGCCTAGAGACGTGGCCATGCCGAACCCTGCATTCCTTGAGCAGCCAGGCTTTCTCTTGTGTGTGCTGCATTATCTTTTTTTGTCCACAAAGATTTTGAAAAATCAGCAAAGTACAAGTAGCCCCTGAAATAAAGGCATCATTCAAGGAACAAAGAAGTAGGAGGGATCCAATTAAAATGGTGAAAATCTTTAATTTTTATTTAGGTATACTTGTACGGACACGTGTATATACAAATACAGATCATATGGGATTGCTTGTGTGGTGGTATGGGTTTTTTTTTTTTTTTTTTTTACATTTTCTATTACGTTTATATAATGTCAGCATTTCAAAACAGCACTCGGTGAGTAAGTGCAAAGGAACTGCAAAGCAGGGCAGTACAAGCACAGGAGCACACGGAGCCGGACTCCACACCCGGACACACGCACAATGAATGGTTTCAATGAGGTGTCGAGAGTAAGCATGGAAGGTGGGTTTTGACTCATGGGTAACCTCCAACATGCCAGCGTCTAGGAAACTGTACAGACAATGGGAGCAGCCACCGTAGGGAGAGTTGTCTCACACCCGAGCAGCTCTGGGGCAAGCGCGTGGGAAAAGCTCAGTGATGCCAAACCAGAGACAGACCTGCCCATTCATGGTTCTGAGGGAAAGAAAACTTGAGGAGAAGGCAAGAGACAAAGTAATAATAATAATAAAATCAACACAAAAAGTCAAGGGGTGTAGGCAAATGGGAGTAGCAATTGAGATGTTTTTCAAAGAAGAGCTAGTGACCACAACTCTAAGAGTGATGATTTTTTAAAATAAAATGGCTGCAGCCGTTGTTAAGGCACCGGAGAAAAAGAGTTCCTGAAAATCCACAGGTACTGTGCGACTCTTCCTTTCCCAATGACTCAGAGAGGGGTCTGGCCCCTTGCGTGACCTGCCTAGAGGGATGGGTGTACAGCCATTCCCATGCCTGGGCTGCGCTTCACACTGACAAGACTCTTACTGGGGAGAAAAATGAAACAGTCCATGGGACAACCACAAACAGAAAACCAAACAGAAGTACAGAACCATAATTAATTTGTCTAAACTTTTTTTTTTTTTTCAAACCACATGCGTAAGGTAAGGAAGGATCACAGGGCTCCAACATCAGACCTCAAGAACACTGAGGACATACTAGTGATCAAAAAAGTCACGTTGTTCCAGGTGGCAAGATGATGGAGTCTTAGGGTTGGGTGGGCGATGACCACAGGAGTCCTGTATGGAGCAGTGTCTCAGCCATTTGTGACTTTTCTCAGCCATGGACACATTGGGTGTTTCAAAGCCTCAATGCATGTATTGTATCCTGAAAGTCTATTGTTCTCACTTACAAAAGACATAAGAATCAAATTAATATTTTATTATCAAACACTATATACAACAGAGGTTGCTAATAATACAGAATTTAAAGAACGCAGGTTTTTTTTTTTTTTTTTAATGTTTACTTTTTTTTCCTCTGCCACCCAAGAAAGTACAGTACAAAACAATAGTCTAAACTAACACGAACTCTCATCTGGTCTATTAAAGGATACACGGTATCCACTAAACAGACAGATCCTTATTTCCCTGCTTCATGTAGCAAAGCCCGTGGCAACCGGGGCAAAGGTCACTGGGGTTTGACCAACTGGGGCTGCGGGCCAGCTAGGGCTGCCCTGCAAACTTTTGAATTATTTTCTACACTAAAGGCTGCTACAAAGTTGCATCAATATCCTCCTATGCCCCCAGAGGATTGTAACACCGCCACAAAAGGCCACCAGCACTGTTTTGGACATGATAAAAACTGTCTGGCATCAATCACCTTCTGGAAAACATCAAGGCAAGCGCATTAACTACAGTTACATCACTTATAGGTAGAGGAGCATACTGCCTACTGCTGTGGATAGTCTTGCTATTGTTGTTTGTTTGTTTTTACTTCATTTGTGGTGGTGCAATGGCAAAGTAAAAGGGTCTAATTTCCCCATGGAAAATGCAAGACAATGGCAAAGAGGGCCATGAGTAATGATAGTCTCATTTGTTAGAGACAAATGCTAGAAAAACCACAGAAGTCACCATTTCTAAAATGAAATTAGCACTGCTAATGTAGTTATGACTAACGGGAATTATTACAGGGTCATTTGATTTCCTTGGTTACACAACATGCAGTATTATTTGTTTCTGACTATTGATCCATTTTAGAGGGTATTTTCCCCCCTACTCAAATCCTACTGGACCAACAAGCCTGCAACTAGTAATAAAAATGAGAGTATTTCTGCACATTATGGTGTATAGAGCATATAAATAGTGAAAGGAAAAAGGAATCTGATGCTGTGAACTGTTGTGTCAGTGAATTGCTGGGTGCCTTCTGTGAAAGGCTTTGCCACTCCAGAAAAGTTCCTGCCATCAGGGGAAAGGGGTTGTTTGTATTGGGAGGCTGGCAGCTCCATGCTCGTGGTGCCAAGTGAGAACAGACTCAGTAGTAACATCCACTCCAATTGGATCAGGTAAGCCCAGATTCCATTTCGACATGTGTACAACTCTCTAGGGTGCAGTACCTTTACAGCTGCCTTTCATTCACATAGTTCTCTAATTAAAAAACCTACTCACAACTCTAAGCAACTTTCCATTCATGAAGTCTGTCCATAATACGACCCCCCCTTTGTTTTATATATACATCTTAAAAAATGAATCTATAAAAAATCCTTATTTTGCTGGAATGCTTTCAACTTTTTCACATTTTACACGATCATTGCATTTATTGATTTACTTACTTTGAAAGGCATGGTTCCTAGTGACATGTCCTGCAATAGCAGAAAAGGCTAGGTCGCTTTTCCATCGGGCCGACACTTTCCCTGCCTAGGCTTTGGAGTTTAAAGTTCATGAGAACCCTACTAGTAGAAACCCCAAGGCTTGCATTTCCTGGCAATCAACTGGAAATGTCCCCGGTTGGCCGTGCTGAAATTCCTTAAACAGGGTTATCCTATGTTTATTCTTCTGTCCCACCCCCACAATGAAACAAGATAGCCCCCCTGTATTTCTAAATGTATCAAGGGATACCACTTTTTCTCACATGTTTAAATAGGACAAGCATATATACTCACTCTCAGCATAAAGTATATCTAAATAATGTATTTTCTATTCTAGTGGATTTTTAAAAAAATATTTTGTTAAAGTCTTTGGGACTCCATCTTGTTTATCACCCACAGATAAACACATGTTCCCCCTACGCTTTAGGCTGTGTCAGAAAGGGAAAGAATATAGAATCAACACTTGAAAATTTTTTTGTTCCAAACTTTGGAATTTTTATTCCAAATTTCCCTTTAGCCCTCCCAAGTAGCGCTGACTGACTTTCCTTGTGACAGGGGTTTGCATCTGAGCCCCCTGTGGAGCCAACCGTGGGCATGGGGTGGGAGTCAAAAGGCCACAGCACACTGGCGCTTCAGCAAAGCCAACTCACAGCTCCCCTGGCCACCTACTTCCTTTCCTTGGTACACGTCGTCCCCCAGAGGAGCAGCCAAAGCTATTTCTCTCTGCACTCATCAACCCTGGCTTGTCAGCCTTGGGGAAGGTCACTTTATTCATAAAAATGCCTCTTTGAATTTCAAAAAAAAAGAAAAGTTGTAGCACCATGGTGATCTTTATTCAAAGAAAAAAAAAAATTCTGGTGTGTACTGCCCGGTCACCAAAAAAACTAGAGGCACTCACACATACACACCCCCACCAACATAGAGTTCTCTCTGTTCTTCACACTAGTTTGTGATAGCATTCCTCTACCCAACCTGCCTCCTCGAAGAAAAAAAAAAAAAGAAAGAAAGAAAGAAAAAAGGCTTCTTTGATAGAGCACAAGTTTTGCTGTCAAGAATGCTTTAAGACAGTCATATTAAAAAATCCCAGTGTCTCAACCTTTTAGAAGCCTGTTCATTTATATACTCCTAGAGGAAATGGTGTAATATTATATCTATTCTTACTACCTCCCCTCTGGACCTGACATGGTGACACGATGCCCTGCACGATCATCTCGCAGTCCTGAATGAGAAGGCATAAATATTGTATAGGAGAGCGAGCCCCCGGGCCTGGCTGTCGCTAGCTGCATTGCCCCTCTTCCTGGACCACGACCTGCCAACACAGTGCACTAACGGAGGGGAGCTCTTAGAGGACAATGCACAGGAGCTGGCAAGCCACGGGTGTCACGCCGGCAAGCTGGCATTTTCATCTGGGGTCCACTGAATTTGGAAGGGGTGAGAGAAGTCAAGGGCAAGGGCTAGGGGTGGGCTGGAGTCAGGGAGGCAGCAACTAGCTCAGCCCCCCTTCCCCATGTTGTTGCTCAGAATTCAGGCCAAGGGAAAGAAAACAAAAATCTGACATCTGCCGAAACCCAATAACAAGTCCCTTCTTAGGATGAGCAGTTAGGTGGATCTCTGTTGTTCCAAGACCCTGATGTTTTCTGTGACAGGTGACGGGAGGAGACTCTGCTATAATGTCAAAAGCATCGCCAGGAGGAACAGTAGGATTGCCAAAAGGCGGCTGGGTATCCTTGGTGTTTGTGCCGCGTTCTCGCCGCGGGATGGCTCGGCTGACTCATGGACGGTGTCATCTGTTCAAACAGAAAGCACACATTCCAGTGAGATCTCACATCCTTAATAACTCTCGCAGCAGCCTGCTGTTCGCAGACCTCGCCACCCTCTGCAAAGTAGGGTAATGAACCTTGTGCCACCATTGACTTTCATGTCTGCATAATCACTCATTATTTACAGCAAACAAAAGGAGGGCAAAGAAAATCGGACTTTCCTGGCCATATCCGAACTTGCCTTTAAAACTGAGGGGGGAAACCGTGAGGACGGACTTCGTAACCTCCATGGCGCGAGGGACTTTGGTCTGCTAGCAGTCCGCTGCACCTTGCAGAAACCGAAGCTATCGAGTGCTCCCGTTAAATATCTCAAATACACAGGAAGGAAAGTACGTGTTGGAGGACACAGGGAAGGGAAGCAGTTACGTTGGCATATTAGTGGTTAACCAGAAAGGGCCGCTCAGTCTCCTCTTTCTAGCCATTTCATAGGATGAGAGCTGAATGCTTGGTTGTTGGGTTCCTAGGTGAATTTTCAAGTAGGGAAAGTTAAGTGCCAAAAACAACAGCATTTTAAATAAACTACGTAGAAGGCCCAGCAAACTTCAATAAACTAGGACCGACTGATGTGCCTACAATTAGAAATCAATTGTGGTGCTATTTCTATTATAGGCCTTGTATCTCTAGGATTAAATTACTTGAACTTGACTATTTTTATTTTTATCGGGCTGCAGCTTGGCACATAAATTATCAGCATGGATGCAAATTTTCCTCTAAATAAAATGGATTAAGTGAGTTAAGCTTCTTTTATTTTGCTATAAAGTGTTCTACAAGGCTGCCTCCTACTTTGGATAGCCTCCCTGAGCTGCATGATTAACGGGCTTAACTTCAAAATGGGAACTTTGCAGTAATTAGTGCCCAAAGATGGATGGGGGCTTGCTCAGGATCCGTGCTCCTCTCTGGTGTGGCCCTTCTACTACCTGGCCTCCTTACTCATATGCTGCCACACCAGTGATCCCCGAGGGACGTGCTCTGAGGGACAACAGTGGGCCTCTATGCAGATTTTATTCAGCATCAAGGGAACCCTGTGTAGGAGCTCTGCCATTGCCATGTGGGTTTCAGTCAACGGTCAATCAGAGAATGTGACAAAGGACACGCTAGTGGTTACTCTATTCTGTAGACCTCAAAAGACAATCCCTAAATATCCCTGAATGACCTACATTGAGTCTCTTCCTGGATTAGCTATCCATTATTTTAAACTAATTTATATTTTTCTACCACATAACATGTTGTGATAGCGTAGAGTCCTGGTCCCTGCTATTTGTCCTAAAATGACCTCTTTTTAGGCTGACTGGCTGGCCACTGCTGCAGATATGCTCATTGGAGATGTTTCCATGCAGGCCATTCATTCCCCATGCGAACTAGGAAATATGTCTTCTCAGGGTTGCATATTCTTCCCTGGAGATGAGTACATGTATCATGTTAGCCTGCCCTCATATAGGAGTTGCAGCAACTCTTTGTCTCATTTGCTCTTCTTTACTGGACCTTAGCAAACCTATCTGGAGTGGTTTTCACTTAGGATACTAGAGAAGGTTAGGAGCAAGAAGGGGAAGATGAACAATGCACAGAAAAATGTAGTAAGTCCTGGAAAATGCAGCCACGTACATACAGACTCTCCCCTTTTCTCAGTCTTTTCTTTCTTTTTTCTTTTTTTTTTTAAGCCTTTTAAGGTATTAATTAAATTTAACGTTTATAGGACATAGAAGGAAAGGTCCTGAATAGTCCTGAAATTAAAATCCAAATCACTTTTTTATGAGCACCAAAATGACGTGAGTCAAAACAATTGAGTACTTCAGGCTAAACTAAGAAAGACCCAGAGGATTACGGAATTCACTTTGAAACATTGCTGATACAACTGATATTACATCATCTATTGGGTTCTTGTCTACCTTATTCTTACTAATGTATTACACAATCCTTTTTGAGCAGCTTGGAAGCATATTGCTAAGAGATATCCAGGCAGTACTTAGGTGCTCAGTGTAAGCATGAAGGGGACTCCTCTACTGTTTCTGGTCCCCTCCCAGTGTTCCTTGGGCCTTAGCCATGAGCATAGGCTCACTCAGCACCAGACACAGTGCAAGAATCTTGCAGGATAACTGAGGAAAGGCTTTCGTTTTTAATGTAAGTGAAGCATGAGGCTGACTTTTCCTTTCATTGGTTTTTCCTAAGCAGCAAATGAATACATTCAATTGTGCTCCCAGAAGGGAAATTAGGACATCATGATTCTACTCTTGTGTCTGCAACGCGTCGTTCTCCAACTTGGACTGCACAAAGCATCCTTGGATTGAGTCAAACCTTCAATGATGGGAGATTCTATGACCCCCAAAATTGACATGAGGAAGTGTCTATTGTTTAGATAAAACTAAAGCACTCTCAAGATTCTAAAGAGGAATTCCTAACTAACAGCTATCCCAACAACAATTACACCCGATTAGGAGAGAATTTCTAACTCTTGTAGCAATGAACAAGGATTGGAAGAAGAACACATGCCTCTTCAGAAGCCAAGTCAAATCTTGTCTCCTGGCTATCAGATTCTACCACAGGGGTTTTGAATGGTTAACTGAGGGAACACTAGTGACATTTTGGAGCATGTGATGTGTCATACGTCTGTCCTGAGATTATTCTGCATCCCTGATGATAGGAAACTGGCAGGCAGAGAAGGCAAGAGAACAAAAAAGACAAATACATTCCACAGTCAGGTGAATTAGTACGTATTGCTGAGAACATGCAGTGGGGGCCTTCCAAGGTCGTTGGATTCACTGTCTGCCTCTTCTCATAGAGGGGGGTAAAGGGACATATTCATACTTAACCAGGAAAAGAACTTCAGATCTGACTGAATTTTCTACAGAACAAAGAAGTGCTCAAATTTGTCATTGTATGAGCGCTGCCAGGCATGATGGCTTAACCTGATGTCATTTTTAGTGAAGCTGTTCACCAGCAAACACTGAACTGCAGCCATTACTGACTCACAGGTACACTTATGCTCTATTCTTCAACACATCTGCACACACACAGACACACACGTACCCGCATATACACACTCAAGTATATTCTGCTATGGTTTTGGAAACTTCCACCATAGATTTGGGGGCACTAAATACTCAGTAAAAGAGATCTGATTACCCAAAACATAATGAAATATGCTTGCACGTGAAAGCATCTTAATAGCTTGCATTTTATCGTTAATTGAATTTAAAAATAATTTTCCTAATTGTGCCTCAATGTGTCTCTTCATTCCCTGAGAAAAACATGCAATCTGTTGTTTTTAAAGTCTTTTGCTCTCTAGACAGGCACTGAGGTTTACCTAAAAAAAAAAAAAGAAAGAAAGAAAAAAAGAGTGTAGGAAAGTTATGTCTTTATTCTATATATGTCTTGAAAAGCCATAATCTTGGGGATGGTTTTTTTTGTTTTGTTTTGTTTTGTTTTTTCTAAATCTTTTTATTTATTTGGTACATTGGCACAGAATGCAGTACTGGGGATTGAACTGGGTCCTTGAGTTTGCCAGGCAGATGCTTAGATTGCCGAGCTATCTCCCAAGACCAAGCGCATGGTTTATTTGTAACACATCTAACTCTGCTGGACATTCTCTTTGTGACATGTCAACAAAGCCAAGAAAGTCAAGCACTTATTCCACTCATGTTTACCTTTAGAAATAGAAAAAACAAAACAAAACAAAAAAACCCACTTTTATACTACTGTTGGAATGGGAACGAAGACATGAATATTAAACTTGGATCTGTCTAACAGGCTCTGTGGCCTGGAAGGAATTCTCAGTCACAGGAGGAAGACTTAGATGCTATGGTCTTTAAAAGAGATCCTAGTGAACTTGTAGCTTCTAGGACGGCCTATGTCCTCATACCTGGGGGGAGTGTGGTGTGTTAAAAGGCCACAGTAATGCTCCCAGGTTTCCAGGACACAATTAAAGTGTCTCCTCATTACACTCATTCCTTACAACTTTCTAATGCAGCTAACTGATCCGGGAGCCCCATGGTCTCCAAAGGCTCATTGTGTGTACCTCTCATTTGCACTCTGGGTGAGACGCCTGCCACAAAAAGACTAGAATGTTTGAGGAGAAAAACCTGACTCTTCCTGTCAGCTGCAGCACGAAGGCTAGTTTACATCCAGAGGCACAGCAGTTACTGGGGTGAGTTTCCCTACAGCTCCTGGACTGGGATCCCCCTAACACCACTCAGTATAAAGTGGGTCTCCAATCCCTAGAAAGGACCATGAGAAAGAAATGTCCTACTACACACAAAAAAAATTCATCATATAAGGGGGCTCAAATATTGGAGTGAAGAGAAAATAATTTTACTTTCTTAATGCTTAGCTTTGAGATGGTCATGGGAGATGACAAAGGAAATCATGAAGATCTTGAGCAGGCAGGTGAAAAATTTCACCACCCAGGAGGGGGCCGGTAGAGCACTCCTCAGTGAACAACACCCAGAGAGAAGGCTCCCACCCCCACCATCAGTCTGGCTGCACCGAATGGTGAGACTGACTTTATAACCAAATGGACAGCTTCTAGGTTATCATCCACAGTGAGCTGCAGCGTAAATGCTTATGTGAGGGCTCTTGTGGGCTTTACTTTCCCTCACAGTAATGGGAAAGTTTGGGTATGTCAAAGAGAATAGAACAAAAATATATTTATCCTTGAAATTTATTTGTCTCAGGGACCACATTTGTCTCAATGGGCTATTGCGTACATTTGCGGGAGCTGCAGGTGTGGGGACTTGTGGCAACATGATTGTATTTCTTTGGACTGATTGCTATTGACACAGGGCAAAAATAATATTGAAATACAAGAAAGTTGTTTAGATCAGTTCCATGATGCATGTGAACTCCTAAGGAAAACTGAGTTGTTGGATTAGTTCCTGTTTTAACCGTCTTCCTACTTTCATCTATCCGCAGAATTGGCTATCAGGAAAAGAAAATTTTATAAACATATACAACAGAAATGTTTTCTGTCTTATATGAAAACAGATTCAAGATTCAGTGATTCTCCAGCATGCTCCGAAGATATGGCAAAGGGCAGGGAGGTTTTAGCACTCTGATGGGACTTCTATATTAGGATACTGTATTAAATGAAACCCATGTCCAAACAGAAGAGTTCTATTTTATCTAACATGCATTACACAAAGATACTGGAGGAATGAGGTAGAAGATAAGTAATATTAGCATCACTAGCAATGGGCAAAAGCAGAACAACTATCGCATGCAAACATGCAGAGAAGAAAGGAAAAAAAAGTACTTGAAGCACCAGAGAGATAGATGCATTTGTTAAAAGAGATTCTCTAAGCATACTAACCTGCTGGTTCTAATGAATTTTCTACTTTGTCGTTAACATCGAAAACACGATCATGAACACCTATAGTTTTCATACAGCTATCTATAACAAAAATAGAGATAACAGCCAAATATGTTAGTGAAGACACCCTTAAACTCCCATTTCTTTCTCTTTTTTTTCTTTCTCTCTAGTTTTTCCTTTTATTTATGTAGAGATTGTTTTACGATCAGTGGCACGTATCCAGATGCCAACATTGCTCCTGCTTGCTGTGCACGTACAACAATCTAAGAAACAAGTTAGCAACTGCCGTGTATTTAAATCAAAGCATCATGAAGAATGATGAGAAAAAAATATGATGAAAACTAAAACATGGATGTTGATATACAAAACAGATACCACACGAGATTTAACAGTAAAGAAAAAAAAGTTTTACCGCTCGGAACCAGACCACACGATAAAGCATGCGCAGTGAAGGGACCCTCAGGAGCTCATTCTAGTCAACTTACTTGTTGGTCTCACAAAGACTTTGAGCTTTAGGCAGGACCTTCTTCCATTATCTGGAATTGCAGAGGCTGTGGATAGGACAGAGAAGGCAGGGAGAAAGGAGAGAACAACAACGAGTTACTTCATAGTTTTCACACGCAAATTGTCTGAGACTCTTTCTTGGACAATAGGTACTTGGCCTAATTCTTGTCAGGAGACGAAACTAACCATCCCACTGGATTGATCTAAGGGCTAAGGACCCGGCTCTTTTCATCGCTTATCTTCTCCATCCTCTACAGCAAGGAAGCAAGCAAGAATGTGGGTGATCTGTGGAAAACTACTTTTATTTCAAAGGTGTTTCCATTTAACTTGCTCTGTTAGCCCTCCTCAGAGCAGGATATCGCTTGAGCCCCCTCACATTAGGGGCTATTTCTCCTCCACTGCTGGGAAAGAGGCCCCCCCAAAGGCCGCTGGTGAGAGTGCAGGCACAAACCAGGGACGGGCTGCAAGGCCGACTTAAACATGACCTATTTCTCTTGGGCAAAGCAGAGCTCCGTCTGTCAGTGCTCCTCAGGTAATTCAATTAGAGGTTTTACTCAGAACTTGGCTCCACTTTCTATCTGGCTAAACGAAGCCTAGCCACTTCCATCACACTATTATAAGTACAATATGCTATTGAGAAAGTACTATGTCGCAATGTCACATTTATTTGTTTTTTTCAAATTTGCCACAGAGAAGGATGGAATTAATAAAGTGGGCTTACCAAAACATGGCAACATGTTTCAAGTTATAAGTCATTTGAGGAAGAAACTTTCTTCTCCTCCTCAAAATAATAAGATTGCAAACTTTCCCTATGTTTGAAAGATTATCTGCCCTCAATACTCAGAGCATAATGTCAAAGGGATTCCCGAGGGTGGCAAGACCCTCAACAACCACATGTGTTTACTAATGCACTCTAGAAATGACAAAAATTACAGAAACAAGGACTGTATCCTTTCCTCCCTATGTTCTTCTTCAAGTGGTTTCTTTGTTCAGACACAGCAGATGACATCAATCAAGGCACACATGGCTTAAAATTAGTTTGGTAATGCCCAGAGTGACGAGGAGAAAGCCAGCAGCCGGGATGCCAGCTCTCTCTTTCATTTTTGTGCTATGCTCCACGAGGAACCCAGAACACCAAAATGCTTACTTTACAGGTGACGGAATTCAAGCTGCAAACTCCAAACCCAGTTTACAGGAGTCTGCCCATATAACTACAGATCTGTGTAACTATCTTGCAGGAGAGCTGATAAATTCACCACCTCAAAGAAGTTAAGCACTACAGGACCCCTGGTGGCATTGTCTAACACCTGTTGAAACTCTTAATTTTAAGGCAAAAGTAAGAGAAAAGATGTTTTCAGGCCTCCCTGTCACCCCAGGTCCCTCTGACAAGCAGTTAGGAAGTGCTAACAGCTGGCTTTGCAGTAGGCTTTCATTAAATCAAAGTCAGAAAAACTCCCTCTCCTGACATTTACAGTAACTAGTGTGTTATTTAGGGCACAATCTTTGCACTCTGTGGTTTGATCCAGGAAATGGTGTCCTTCCTGTGGCCCCCAACTGCAAATGTGCCTGTCACAAGCACAGCACATGTAGGTGACTGCAATTCATCAGGAAACCATGGGCTCTTGAGAGAGCGTCTTATTCATGTGAAGTGGTGTGGAGAAGCGACACATGGACATTCGCACAGCTACTCTACAGATCTCCGAGCCGAGATGAACTCACTTCAAGCCCCATGGACTTGGCTTGCCATGTGCAAATAACTGATTTTACAGCTCCCACAAGGGGAACAGGCTCACAGCAGGATCAAAGGTTTAATTGTTATAGTGAGAAGCTTCCTGGATTTAAAATAGTTCTTTCTAATTTTTCTTAAAAAGAAATAAAGCCAGGACATAAAAATTATTGTAGAGTCCAGTGAATAAATAAAGAGCAGCAAATGATAAGCCAGGTAGGCAGGAAAAAAGAAAAACCTAGAGTTCTCTTCTCAGCTCACAAGGAAGGACTAGAGCTTTAGTTACTAGATCAGCTACATCCTCATGTGAATTAAAAATACCACATGTGTTTATATAAAATATAAGATCAAAACCTCTCTTACCCCTCACTGTCTCATTTCCTCTCATCAGAAAAGCTGGCTGGATGATGACATAATTGATGCCTTCTGATACTTTTTTACCACCTACTCCTCCTGAACAGGGAACGTAAGTGCACAATGTTAGCTGTGAACACAGGCACAGACCAAGTGCCACAGGCTGGCCCCCAGCTTTCTGGAGCTCACAGAGTGAACCCCCAACCCTAAGGGCCAACCTGAAAGGTATGCCTTGCTAGGTTAGTTTAACTTGGCTTCTTTCTTATTTGACATATTGAAACACAAAAATAAAGCCAGAAAAGGGGGAAAATATTAAGATACCAGCAAAACTACAATTCTTATAAATAGTTTTAAAATACAGGGTATGACTTTTTTCCATAGTAAAGTCAAGGTTTCTTCACCTTACCACTCTTGGCTGATAGATGTAGGATGCTTTCTACTACCTGAAAAAACAGGTGTTTAATTACTAGTGATATTTAAAGGTACAACATAATACAAAATTCTTGACTGTTCACAAACACACAAAAGGCAGAGGGCCAAGCATTAAAAATACAAAATAATGAGCTGGGTGTGGTGGTGCACACCTGCAGTCTCAGCACCTAGGAGGCTGAAACAAGAGGTCTCTACAAGTTCAAGGCCTTCCTGGGGTGCATAGTGAGCCCAAGGCCTGTTTGCACTACTCAACCAACAAAAAGACAAACAGGAAACCTCCAAAAGACCAGAGAGAAAACGAGGCATGCGATAGTTCCACAAACAGAAAGAAAATTCTCTCATGAGCCTATAACCAGGGATGGAACAAGGGATGGACGGGAAGGAGTAAACACTTAAAATACACCTGGCTTCTGTTAGGAGGTAGCAGTATCAGTCTATATGACTCCAGAGAAATGCCACTTCAGAATGACTACCATTATTTTTTATAATATATGCATTATAAATATATCTTCCCCTGTTCTCCTTAGAAAACGAAAAGGTCACCATTGAAAACTGATAGGGAATAATTATCAAAATAGCTTCTCTTCTACTATACTTTCATGCTCATTTCAAGCACTCTTAAAATTCCTACTATGTGTGCTTTGCTCTTGGATGCTGTGGATGCTAAGATAGAAGATACACGCATCCTGCTGTGCTTTGTGCTTTTTTTCCAACTGGGATGCAAGCACAAGCCACAGAAGGGACAGCTGGCACCTCCGTGTGATAGCTGATGTTTGCATGAACAGCTAGCACAGCGTTGTGCAGGCCTGTGAAGGTGGCACAGGTGTGCTGTCAGAGGACTTAGCAGAGGCTTCCCTGGTCCCCCGGAAGCCACCAAATAGCAACTAGAATGAAAGAGTTAAAACATTTCAACCAAAAAAGAGGTGCTAACCTGCAACAAGCAAAGAAATCTTAGACTTGATTTCTTTCTATTAAGACACATGGTTTTTCTAATAGAATTTCTAAAATCAAAATGAGAAAACTCGTCATTAGTTGCTATGTAATCTAAATTCATATCCCTTTACTCACTTTACTGCTAAAAATGTACGTTTGGACTCTAGAAATTGGAAGTGAGGACGTGGGGACCATTAAAATAAGCAAAACCTCCCATTCTATTATCTTAATAGCAACTTTATACATCAATGCATAGGGATCCCTTCCCCCTAATAAGCTGTAAAGTACCAATTAAAACCTTGTGACACATAATGAAATACAAGATGGAAGACTCTGGCTCTCTGTGTTTAGAGTACCACGTTAACAAGGCCGTGAGGACCCCTTTTCTCACTCTGTTCCGTGACCTCAGAGAGGGGCCCTGACTTAGGCCATCTCTGAAAACTGCTTCCTTTAGTCTTTTGAGGTTCAAGAACTTAGCTCAATACTTAGCCAATGTGCTACTCAAAGGGGACGATATTCAGTGCCCTCAAATTAGTATTTATAAAAGATATCCTTAGCACAACAGAGAGATAGACAGATAGACATCCACACCACAGATGACTACTTATTCTATCATTCAGAAATAACAAAAGAACACTAGCACCATGCTTGTTAGAAGCTATTTCTGACCTGGTTTTCAGTGACCCCCAATCACCTGTATGCAGTGCTTCCTGCAGTCCCCTCCCCTTGACAGTGTACTGAACTTCGTAACTTGCTTCTAATGAGTAGAGTACAGCAAAAGTTATGGTTTCACCTCTGTGATTACATTACAAATGCCTGCAACTCTCTTCTTGCAAGCAAGGTCCTGTTTATTGTGAGATACTCCATGGAGAGCCCCATGAAGCAGGGAACCAACAGAGACTTCCAGCCAAGGGCATCAAGAAACCTACGCCTTAGAAGCTTAGAAGCCAACAGCTCACAAGGAATTCGAGTCCAGCCAACAGTCATGTGAGTAAGTGAGAGAGTGAATCCTCCTCTGCTGAGCCTCAAGGAAGCTCCTAGGAGATCCAAGGGCCCTCCCTGCTGAGCTTGCCTTAGATCCCTGCCCCACACAAATTCTGAAATGTTGTGTTGCGCACAAATGGGGCAAGTAATTTGCAAGAGTTAATGGATGCCATGCTGTGTACAAACACATCCCTAAATCCCAGGCTTCCCAAGGCAGACTTCATGCTGGAGACTGGCAGCACTCTGTACGTCAGGCGGCTACGCCATGCTTCCAATGGCCTGTTCCATGCCTCTGTAACTGCATCTTTCTAGTTTATATTTCAAGCTACAGTTACAAGTCCACTTAAAATACGCCTTGAAGAGAGGTAATTATAAACTAATGTTGAAGACATACAAAAGGCACACCTATTTGTTCTCTCTCCAGCTTTTAAGAGCTGTTTCTCATTTTCCTTTGCATCCAACTTATTTTTTGCAAATGTAGTCCTTGTAATTAGCACGATGTCTCACTTTAGCTCTAAATTGCTGGGTAAACCTAAATCATCTTGATACAAATATGAACTTAAATCAGAGGAGGGAAAGCCTTTTCTCACATAAGAGAGCTAGACTGCAAAGATGAGC